TCTGTTGTTGCAGGAGTGCGGTAAGTGGCCTCAAAGATCTCCGCCAGGTAAAGGAGCTGTTCGAGAAGTCCTGGTAAAAGGCTAGCGCCATGCTTTCAAATTGGAATTGGGGTGTTTTCCTGAAGGCTTGGAGGACTGCTTTATCGGTCCCAGACCGGAATTGTACCACCAGGTCCAGTGGGACTCCAGTCGGTGCCTTGGTCGGCTTGGGGATGCGGAAGAGGCCATCCAGCGTTACAGCTTTAGCTTGACTTGGTGACAGCAGGGCGCTCAGTAATCTTCTTAGTAAGTGTGGCAGTTCAGCTTCAGGTACGTCCTCTTTGATCCCTCTGATTTTAATATTGTTCCGGCGTCGGGCATCTTCCTGTGCTGCGAAACGGCGGTCGTACAGTTGATTTTGTTTTTGTAGGTCTCTAATCTCCTGTTGCAGCGTGTTCATGCACTGTGTGACTATTTGTGTGGCCTCCTCAAGGGTTCCGATGCGTCCCATCAGACCTTGAAAGCCTCCGCGGATCGTGCCTGGAGGGTGGTTTTCAAGTCTGCCAGGAGCTCCTTGAGGACAGCTGTGGTGTCTGGGGCTGTGTCCGGTGTCGCTGGACCTGTCTTCGGCCTCGAGGTGGCAGGTATGCAGTCTTCTTCCTCATCCAAGGAGAGCCCATCTGAAAAATCCGAGCATCCTCCCGAAAGGGCGGCCATTTTAGGTCCGTGTGCGCCCTGCTCCTGCTGCCACATTTCTCCAATATTTAGCCCCATGTTCGGTCTATCTGGCTTGTTTTTTTTTAGATTTTTGCCCCATGGTGTTTGGACGGACTGGTGGCGGTCTCCAGGTCCCCTCAGCAGGCGATAATTGTGTCGGAAAGTGTGTTTTCTACTGTTTGAGTCCCGCAACACCAGGGACATGCGACCGGTTGCTTCAAAGGCTAAGCTCCTCCCTTGGTTGCTTTTTTTAATGTATAGAAGATTCAAGTATATAATTGATAAGTATGTGAACAGGTAATTGATTCAAGTAGAAATCTGAATGCCATTATGGAGTCAAGAAGGAATGTTTTACCTTTTTGTGTAATATTTGGAAATGACTACAATTGTTTGTAGTACACTTGTTTTGCCTTCTTTTGAATCAACAGCATTAAAGAATGTGCTTCAAGGTTGAACAAAATATAAACCGGATAGACCCCCAACCACATTTGACATCCGCGATATCCTGAGAACAGCACAAACCTCTGGGAGGTCTGCAATGGCACTAACGCTCAGGGCCGCCATCAGGGCATGACAACCGCAACGGTTGTCATGGGCCCGGCGGTCCTGGGGGGCCCGGACTCTCTCAGGTGGTCCGGGCCCCAGATTCAGTGGGTACATACCGGGTCGCAGGGGGTCCTGCGACCCGGTATGTACTCACAGGGCCAGCCTCTTCTCCTGGGGGGCCCAGCAGCCGGTCCCCTCAGGGCCCCCCAGCGGCTGGCCCTGCTGACACCCGGCGCACGAGGGAGCACTCTCTGTATACTTCCTCTTCAGCTCCCTCGCGCACCGTACTGATGCCGGAGCCGGAAGATGACGTCATCTTCCGGCTCCGGCATCAGTATCGGTGCGCGAGGGAGCTGAAGAGGAAGCACACAGAGAAAGCCCTCACAGGCCCGGCCGGCCAGCAGCATCAGGTGGGGGGAGGAAGGAATGGGAGGGGGGAGGAATGAAATCTTCGCGGGAAGGGGGGAAGGAATGAAATGGGAGGGGGAGAAGGAATGGGAAGGGGAGAAATGAAATGGGAGATGGAGGGGGGGAAAAGGAAAGGGGGTGGGAAGGAATGAAATGGGAGGGGGGAGAAGGAAAAGAGGTGGAAGGAATGAATGGAAGGGGGGAAGGAATGAAATGGAAGGGGGGGAGAAGGGAATGAAATGGGAGGGGGAAGGAAATGAAATGAGATGGAGGGGGAATGAAATGGGAGATGGGAGGGGGGAATGAAATGGGAGGGGGGAAGGAAATGAAATGGGGGAAATGAAATGAGGGGGGGAAGGAATGAAATGGGAGGGGGGAGGAATGAAATGGGGAATGAAATGGGAGGGGGGGGGAAGGAATGAAATGGGAGGGGGAAGGAATGAAATGGGGGAATGAAATGGGAGATGGGAGGGGGGAGAATGAAATTCGAGGGAGGGGGAAGGAATGGAAGGGGAGGAATGAATGGGTGGGGGGGAAGCTAATGAAATGGAGGGGGGAGAAGAATGGGAGGGGGGGGGAAAGAATGAAATGAGGGGGGGGAAGGAATGAAATTTGGAGGGAGGGAGGAAGAAAATGAAATTTGAGGGAGGGGGGCAGAAATGAAATTGAGGGGAAGGGGACAGGAATGAAATTTGAGGGGAGGAGAGGAATTAAATTTGAGGGGGAGGGGGAAAGGAATTAAATTTGAGGGAGGGGGGAGAGGAAGGAAATTTGAGGGGGAGGGGGGAAAGGAATTAAATTTGAGGGACGGGGAGAGGAAGGAAATTTGAGGGACGGGAGGAGGGGAAGGAAATTGGAGGGGGGAGAGAAGGAAATGAGAGGGAGAAGAAGGAAATTGGAGGGGGGAAGAAGGAAATTGGAGAGGGAGGGGGAGAAGAAGGAAATTGGAGAGAGGGAGGGGGAGAAGAAGGAAATTGGAGGGAGGGAGGGGGAGAAGAAGGAAATTGGAGGGGGGAAGAAGGAAATTGGAGAGGGAGGGGGAGAAGAAGGAAATTGGAGAGAGGGAGGGAGGGGGAGAGATTGACATCCATCACACACAATGCACACCTTGCACACAGAAAAACACACAATGCATTACACACAGACACACGTACACAAGCAATGCATCCCTTACACACAGCAACACACAATGCACCCCTTACACACACTCAATGCATTCCTTACAGATGCACACACTGCATCCCATACATACACAAACTCATCTTGCAGCCCTTACACATACAAACACAGATTCACACAATGCATTCCTTACACACATCAGGACATCCCCCACACACACACTCCACTCCCTGTGAACAAACTCATTGGTGGAACATGAAGGTGGACCCTGGGACCCAGACCTTGAGCTGTGTAAAGGGCCCTCAAAAAAATGGAGCTGCATCCCGTTCTCCCAGAACAGTGATTTTTGTGACCACAGTTACAAACCGCCTCCAGAGAGCCTGTTCTACACCAGACCAGTGCAGCCAGACGGCAGCTAGAGCCCATCATCATCCTCATCTGGTTGTAAGTAGGCAATCTAGTATATTATTCGTGGCACTAATCTCTAATTTACCTCACATTAAAGAAACACTATAGTCCCCAGAACCACTGCAGCTTAATGTAGTGGTTCTGGTGTCTATAGCCTGTCCCTGCAGGCCTTTTAATGTAAACACCGCAGCACTGGTGTTAGTTAACATGGCAAATCATATGGGTGGGGTATTGTGATGTCACATGGGGGGGCGGCAAACTTTACTTTTGCCTAGGGCGGCAAAAATCCTTGCACCGGTCCTGCAGACACTGCATCCCTGTGGGTGGATTCGGAGGGGGGGCAGCACTTTGGGCGGACTCGGGTGCAGGCACCGGGGGGCCCAGACCTTGAGCTGTGTCAGGGGCCCCAACATTTCTGATGGCAGCCCTGCTAACGCTGGCAAAATACAGAGCTAAATTCTGCTGACCACTAGGCCTGTATAAAGTCTTTGGAGAACCAGCTTTTGACTTTACAGCATACTCCGACACAGGACCAAAAGTGCATGTCAGTCATGGAGGATAAGTGACGCTGGAAAAATATTAACATACGTGGCCTACCGGACTACCTAGAGCCTACTGAATTCCCACACCTATTCCACAGGTTTCTTACCATTTTATTCTCTTTGAAACAAGCTATGTTGATGCCTCTGGATGGGTGGTACAAAATCCCCAAACCGGCTACAGGGCCCAAGGAATCAGCAGAGACACTATAGTTCACTTCCAGCAAAGCCAGGATTGTCTGGCTTTCATGGCTGCCGTCCGCAACAGGTCACCTTTTAATTATGAGGAACACTCCTAACATTCCTTCCTAACCTGTCCAGAGCCACCCTGGACTAGCTACAGAACTCGTGGCCCACAAGTTACCATATCACAGGGGCATACCTAGAAGCCTGATTATACCCAAGAACTCTGGTGACCTGAAAATCACCGCTGCAGCTGAGATCCCTAATACACTATAGGAACTTGGGATCTCCGTGCTGGCTGCTGAAGAACCTACTTAACTGCCACCTTCTACTTCCATTACCTGGGAACCAGAGAGGGTTCATCTATTAATACCTGCTGGCCACTGAGGGGTCCCATCATCAACTCTGGTGTCCTGAACTAACTGTGAGCATCCATACAGTTCTCTAGAATTTGTTCTATTTTTTTCTATATGTTTTTCTCTTATATTTACATAATTTGTTTTTGATTTCCGGTGTCCCTTTGACCACATTCTTTTGCTTTTATTTCGACTGCTCTCTAAACTAATGTGAGTTGCATAATACATGTGCTATCTCCAGGGCCGTCTATAATATGAATAGGACCCCGGGCAAATCCTTTTCTTGGGCCCCCTAGGCCCTGTCACTGCACCCTCCCTCCCCATTACGCCCAACCCGCAATCACACTGACAGACATGCTGACACATACACACACAGACAGACACATTAAAACATTTGCAGATACATACTGACACACACATACACTGACACAAAAATATATACTGGCAAACATTGACACACATTCAGACATACTGATACACACACAGACACATACATACTCACAGACACATACACTGACAGATATAGTGACACAGACACACACAGACACATACACTGACATGCGTATTGACATACACAGACATACTGACATACACACACACACTGGAACACAGTGAGACATACTGACATACACACACAGACATACTGACATACAAACAGACACTATGTCTGTGTCTGTGTGTGTTAGTGTGTTAGTATGTGTTTGTGTGTTAGTCTGTGTGTGTTAGTATGTCTGTGTGTGTATGTCAGTATGTCTGTGTATGTCAGCATGTCTGTGTGTGTATAGACACACACAGACATACTGACATACATACACAAACAGACATACTGACACAGACATACTAACACACACATACTAACACACAAACACATACTAACACACTAACACACACAGACACAGACATAGTAACACACACACACACACATACAGACATACTAACACACACAGACATACTAACACACACACATACAGACATACATTTAGCCACCCTCCAGGTTCTTACCTTTTTATGGAGGGTGGTTTCCTTGGGGTCCAGTGGCAGGCTGAGGCAGATGGGAGTTCTTCTCTGGAACTCCCCTCCTCCCTGCCTTCCTCCTCCCGCGCGGCTATTATCTCCGGTGGGAGGAAGTGACACGCGGTACTCACTTCCTCCCAGCCGGTACAGGAAGAGGCCCGGTCGCGCTGTTTAAGCGTCACAGCGCCTGACCGGGCCCCTTCTGCCACATGCCCACAGGGTGGCCCTTAGTGCATGGGCCACCCGGGGGCCTCCTTAGTTGGCGGGCCGGTGCGGCTGCACCGCCGGCCGCCGGGTACATGGGGGTTGCTGAAATAGCGGGGCCCATGGTGCAGCTGCTCTGGGCCCCCCCCAGGAGCAACTGGGCCCGGGGCAGCTGCCCCGTTTGCCCCGCGCTAAAGACGTCCCTGGCTATCTCCCATGTTTGTGTCCCCCCCCCACACACACATGAGCGAATCACGAATGTATCTCCTATCAACCCAACTAAGGGGGCTATAACCTCTATAACAGGTTTACTGCCATAAGTTTCTTTAACAAGCTGTCATAATAGTAGAGTCATCTAAGTGCTTCCTGCCTATATTAGTACACACATTACTCCTAATATAGCAACTGAACGAGGATTGCAATATTGTTTACCTGTTGTTAATTTTACTATAATATTTTTTTACACAAAAACCCACAGTCCTGTGTATTCTGTCATCTGAAATGCCTATTTGCCATATTTCGTTATTGATGCTGACTGTACTCAGAATTTCTGATTTATATGGTGTTAGTTATTGTTAGCAAAGCAGGATTGTGAATAAAGAAAGAATAAAAAAAAAAAATCTGTTTCAGAAAAAAAAATACTTTTAGGTTTGTGGTTTCATTAATTTACAAATGCAACTTGACTTTTTTCATGCATTTATTGAAACAGAGAATCATATCTGCATTGGCACAAAACTACAGAAGTATCTCTCCCCTCTTGCAGACCTCACTCTACTGAGCCCTACCCTCTTTCCAACAGGATCAGAAAACTTTTTCTGCATTAAAGGACCACTATAGTGCCAGGAAAACATACTCGTTTTCCTGGCACTATAGTGCCCTGAGGGTGCCCCCACCCTCAGGGTCCCCCTCCCGCCCGGCTCTGGAAGGGGGAAAGGGGTAAAAACTTACCTTTTTCCAGCGCTGGGCGGAGAGCTCTCTCCTCCCTCCCTCTCCCTCCTCCTGCGCCGGGCCAAGTTGAATACAAAGACGTTGCTGCAAGAGCTGCGCCAAGATTCGTCAAGTCTTCAGGAAAGCATTTACAATGTTTTCCTTGTTGCTGAGTGCTCAACTGTGAAAATACAGTGAGAAGTTGCAGCAAAGCCTAGTGGCTGTCAATGAGACAGCCACTAGAGGATTAGGGGAAGTTAAGCGACCTATCTACTCATAGCAGTTTCTCTGAAACTGCTATAATTATGAAAAAATGGGTTAACCCTAGAAGCAGTGGCGCATATGGCTCAGGTCGAGTGTAACGCTGCTGGGCGACTGCCCGCCTACCTCGGGGCCCGGCCGCCTCTGCGACCCGGTATGTACGCCATTGGGCCAGCCTCTTCCCCTGGGGGCCCAGGAGCCGACCACCCCAGGGCCCCCCAAGGCTGGCCCTGCTGTCACCGGGTGGCCGGTCGGGAAGGCGGGCGCGCGAGGGAGCACTCAGTGCTTCCTCTTCAGCTCCCTCGCGCACCTTAATGATACCGGAGCCGGAAGATGACGTCATCTTCCGGCTCCGCCTCCGGCATCCCTATGTGGCGCGCGAGGGAGCTGAAGAGGAAGCACTGAGTGCTCCCTCGCGCGCCCGCCTTCCCGACCGGCCACCCGCCCGCCGGGGTCAGCAGCACCACTGGACCCCAGGGAATCCCCCCAGCACTCCAAAAGGTAAGGAGGCTGGGGGGATTACATAAAAAAAAAACTAGTGTTAGTGTGAGAGTGAGTGTTAGTGTGTGTGTGAGGGTTAGTGTGAGTGTCTGCTAGTGAGTGAGTGTGTGTGTGTTAGTGTGTGTGTGTCTGCTAGTGAGTGTGTGTGTGTTAGTGTGTGTGTCTGCTAGTGAGTGTTAGTGTGTGTCTGCTAGTGAGTGTTAGTGTGTGTGTTAGTGTGTGTGTCTGCTAGTGAGTGTTAGTGTGTTAGTGTGTGTGTCTGCTAGTGAGTGTTAGTGTGTGTGTCTGCTAGTTAGTGTTAGTGTGTGTGTGTTAGAGTGAGTGTTAGTGTGTGTGTTACTGTGTGTCTTACTGAGTGTGTGTGTTAGTGAGTCTGTTTGATGTCTGTTAGTGAGTGTGTGTTTGTCAATGAGAGTGTATGTTTTGTAAGTGAGTGTGTATGTATGTCTGTCGCTGACTGTGTCTCTGTCAGTAAATGTGTGTCTGTTAGCTAGTGTGTATGCGTCTGTAAGTGTGTGTGTGTCTTCGCACTACCTTCTCCAGCGCCGATTCCCTATGCGCTGAGGATCCCTCAGCCTTCTCAGTCTCACGCGACCACAAGATCAAGATTAAATCGGGCTTCATAGGAAAGCATTACTCAATGCTTTCCTATGGACGTTCAGTGTGCTCCTCTAGCGGCTGTCAGTGAGACAGCCACTAGAGGCTGGATTAACCTCAGTGAAACATAGCAGTTTCTCTGAAACTGCTATGTTTTCAGCTGCAGGGTTAAAACTAGAGGACCTGACACCCAGACAACTTCATTGAGCTGATGTGATCTGGGTGTCTGTAGTGGTCCTTTAAAGGACCACTATAGTGCCAGGAAAACATACTAGTTTTCCTGGCACTATAGTGCCCTGAGGGTGCCCCCACCCTCAGGGACCCCCTCCCGCCCGGCTCTGGAAAGGGGAAAAGGGGTAAAACTTACCTTTTTCCAGCGCTGGGCGGAGAGCTCTCCTCCTCCGATCCACCTCTTCTCCTCCGCGTCGGCTGTATGCGCACGCGCGGCAAGAGCTGTGCGCGCATTCAGCCGGTCACATAGGAAAGCATTCATAATGCTTTCCTATGGACGCTGGCGTGCTCTCCCTGTGAAAATCACAGTGAGAAGCACGCAAGCGCCTCTAGCGGCTGTCAATGAGACAGCCGCTAGTGGAAATAGGGGAAGGCTTAACCCATTCAGAAACATAGCAGTTTCTCTGAAACTGCTATGTTTATGAAAAAATGGGTTAACCCTAGCTGGACCTGGCACCCAGACCACTTCATTAAGCTGAAGTGGTCTGGGTCCCTAGAGTGGTCCTTTAAGTGTGTGTGCGTCTGCATGAACTGGCGTACATACCGCGGTCGCAGGGGTCGCAGCCCTGTAACCTCTGCGACCAGGTGCCCACCGTCATGTGTTGCGGCCCGGCCCGCGCGCGGGGGGGGGAGGGGAAGGAGGGAGGGGGGGGGGGCCACGGATCAATTTTCGCACCGGGGCCCCATGGGTCCTGTGTACGCCACTGCCTAGAAGGACCTGGCACCCAGACCACTTCATTAAGCTAAAGTGGTCTGGGTGCCTAGAGTGGTCCTTTAAGGCCGGACATCACATATGTAAACAGACAGAGGGCCGCCTTCATCTATCTAGCTAAAAGCATGAAGATAATAATATTAGGCTCCCTAATTTGCTATCCATATGTGGGATTGACAAATATAAGGATACCAAATTAGGGAGCTATCTATTAAACAGCTGAATCGCTCAAAATTAAGAAAAGCCCTTAAATCTCATCATTCAGTAGTTTAGTAGATAACTCCCTAACATGGTTACACAGATTGAAAAGAGACTTGCATCCATCAAGCTCAGCCTTTCTCAAATCTATTTTTGATCTTTTTTAGTGTTGATCTAAAATAAGTGCTTCCCAGTTTTGCAACAAACTAGGAGAAAAGTATTTCTCGATCCCAGTGTCATGAAATGCATATAACATGGTAAGCTGGTTTCAACATGTCTTTATTGCAGAGCTTGAGGCCATCTTCACCAGCAGCATTACATTTGAAAAAAGATAGTTCCTTCAGCCACCTCTGGTCCCACCCCTTCTGTGATGTCCCTCAGGCTCTTATCACATCTCCCCCTTTTTAATAACAATACTTTTTTTTTTTGTACAGATAAACAAAACAAATAAAGAGAAGAAGAAATCGCTATACTATAATAACTATACTATCTTGGACATTGGGGTAGAGTACTATAGTCCTCAGTGACTATGGGATTATTCTGCCCATTCTTAAAGTCACTGTTCTAACTATTCTTGGTAGCTCGCTGAAAGCTTCACAACTCTACCACTCAAAGTAATTTTGCAAGGTCCTTTCCCAAGTCCTTATGAGAGTGGTTGTGACTCCACTCAAGACAGTGCTGTATTCGCACCGGACTCTTGTCATGAGGGAGATAAACTTCTCATGACTGGGATTCCACCAGTTGTGGTTGCAAATTCTCAGCACCTCACTCCTCAGGGACTGGCTGAAGGTGCCTTCTATTGTGGTGGGATACACAGGACCTTGGCTCAATACATACATTAGTCAGCATCTCCCAACTCTATTTGGGGGCATGGGCATGCAGAGTGTCTTCTATTATAAAAAGATCTGTAATATTGCTCTGACTCCTTATCACTCCTACAAATGTCCTCTGGAAGAATAGGGGAAGCAGGCTGGGATGCCCCTACAGAAGACAACGTGGTATGAATCTGCCGCCCTAACATCAGATGTACAGGGCTACATCCTGTGGCATTAATTAGGGTGGTCCTGTAGGCTCGGAGGGCCAAGTAAGGTTCTGGTTGTTTTAAAACAAACTTATCCTGCAGGTAATGTGGACTGGAAGTAGAGTGAAGGAATTCATACTCCCCACTGAAAAATATTAACTCCAT